TTACTACTCCTACTGGTGGCACAATGTTATCATGTTTTTTTGTTATTTTTAATACATCAAATACATTTACATTTTAAAAGGCCCAGTGCAGTCAAAAACGTGATTTTCCTGTGTTTTATATATATTTCCACACTATGACTTTGGAATAATACTGTGAAATTGTACAAATTATGATTATGTCCTTTTAGTGTAAGAGATGTTTGCAAAGACAGCCAATAAGAGTTCCAAACCTCTCTGACAATAACAGCTAGTTTTCCGTTTCCACCTCCCCACTCAGACCATTCCCAGACAGTCCTAGCAACATTCTTGCTTGAGAAAGCTATTTTTGTTTATTTTTTCATTCGTTTTATTGAAAACAATCACAGAAAAATACTTAATGTTACCCAGAACTGATTTGATATTGGAATAAAAACGGCTGCATTGGACCTTTAAAAAATCCAGACAAACCTTTTTCCCAAAATGCCATGTGTTCAGTTCGATGTATTATTCTCAAAGGAATGGGCTTTCAGCTCAAATGTGAGCTACACCCTCAAGCCCTGTCTACTAAGGGTTTCATGTTTCAATTTCCATTCCAACAATTCAAATATGAATAGTGCAGTTTTTCTTCATCATCCACATATAGTTAGACTCAGTTATTCTTGGAAGACCATGGGCAGGTGGCCATGTATAAAAAGGCCCCTTTAGAGTGTGTGTGTGTTCCATTAAAGGATACGGTTAGCTAGATTTATGTGACGTGCTGCCACAGGGGAGTTTTCTCTGAGGCCTTAAACCAGATGCCATGGATACAACCCCTTACTCCCCAAGATAGACTAGACTTGCAGCACATGTAACTTCATCATCAGCTAGGCACTCACTGTCAACGCGGCAGCCCAGAAAAGGGGTAGTCTGGAACCAGAAATCAGGCATTTCTAACCCACCGGCCCATTTCTACCCGCTTGAGGACCCCACACCTGCCCATTTCTCCCCTTGAGGCCCCATTATTAGACATATAATGATAATTCAGTGCAAAACCCCCAATTGAGACAGGCCCACTGGGCTAAAGATGGATCAGCCCATCTGGCATTTGCCCGAACTGCCCCCCCATGTCCAGTCTGTTTCTGGCCAATACTGAAAGATAACCTTTCCAGGTGCATACACACAGTTAACAGCAACTTAATGTCTCACACCGTCTCGCCTGGGTTGAGAATACAAATATTATTTTCAATTCTGGGATTGGAAAATCTATTCTAATGGAACTGACCCCAAAACCAAATGGCTCTCTGTGCATCAAAGGAAACAAATGTATACAGACTTTGAAAATGTTGCTGGTTATTCAGTCCTTTCCTGCTGAACACGGCAGACAACATTACAGACATAAAGTGATAAAGATGTAGTACCCTGGTCAAATTGCACAAAAAAAGAAGTGAAAGGCAAAGGAATATTTAATTCATACATCAATAGGAATGCATAACACATTACTAAAAGTAACAGCTGCTTTCAAAATCATTCCGAAGATAGAATAAGAGCACAGGAGTGATTTGGCACAAAAAAAGAATAATAGACAACACCAGGTGTATTCATAAAATAAGTTAGTTAACTCTGCACTTTAAACATAACTCAAGTTATCTGTTTAATACCCAAGTGCACACTCTCACTAGCCTGGCTGACACAACCCACGTGGTACACAGCGAGGGAGAGCTGTTCCCCACTGAAATAGTGAGCTTTCATTGGTTCTCTTGTTGTTTGGATTTGAAAATCCCAAAGTTGTAATGGAAGGGGGCAGCGCTCGGGGGCTGTGTGTGCCTGTCCATTTGGATGTTTGAGTGAGAAAGACACAGAGGAGAACCAACCAGTAAAAGCACAGCCACCTTCATTTTCATCGCATCGTGCCGACAACATCAAACAGCCTCCCCAGACCCTGAAGCCAGGAGGTCTTTGAGTTTGGTATCAGCCAGACTACACTCTCACACCCTCTCTTAACAATACTACACACCCCTTGCACAGTTTTAAAAAATGTCTGCCTTCAAATGTTATCTAAAAAGGGATTCAATTGTTTCCCATCCCTACTTATCTATACAACCTGCTCCACATTTTCAAAGTGAAATTTGTATTTTATTTTTCCTAAATTAATAAAATATTTACACCTCAGAGTTGATGCTTGGTGGAAGCACCTTTGGCAGCAATTACAGATGTGAATTATATTGAATAAGATTATACCAACTTTGCACAACTCACCACCCCAACATCAACATGTGAAAATTGCACGCTTCTATGTTTTGCAGTAAGTGTATTCAATGGCATCATTGGTGTGCATCGTGTGATTTTAACCAATTATGAGAAGGCATTGCCTACTAATTGTCTACTAATTGGTTGATGATGTCATTGGAAACACTTATCTTCCACTCTTTTTTTACTACAAAACATAGAAACGTTTTCACATATGTTGATGTGGTGCTGGAAATGATGAATGAAGTTGAACAACTTAGAAATGTCCCTTTAAGTCATGAGAACCACTACTTCTGCAAACAGATGGACCTTTGATGGATGCATATTTGCTCCTGAACTTATTGAGATGTGACACAGCAAGGGGTGTGAAGACCTTCAGAATCAAAACTACTTTTTTATTTTTAATACATTTCAGTAAAATGCAATAATTTATCTTTCACTTGGGAGTAGGTTGTGTAGATTAGTGAGAACAAATTTCAATTGAATCCCTTCTTTAAATTGAAGGCAGCAAAATGTGAAAACTGTGCAATGGTGTGTAGACTTTCACTTGGCACTGTACGTGTCTTTGCCAAAGGCTGCTACTTCTAGAAAGCATAAGTTGAGTGGGAAACTATCACACCCCTACAGTAAAATAACATCTATATTTGAAACAAAGTAAGTAGAATGAATGTAACATTACGTATCACCTTCTGAATTTCACAGAACCATAAATATTGCAATTCCAAAATTATTACAGTATGTTGTAAGGAACATTAATGTACAGCTCTACATACAGTGGGGGAAAAAAGTATTTAGTCAGCCACCAATTGTGCAAGTTCTCCCACTTAAAAAGATGACAGAGGCCTGTAATTTTCATCATAGGTACACGTCAACTATGACAGATAAAATGAGAAAAGAAATCCAGAAAATCACATTGTAGGATTTTTAATGAATTTATTTGCAAATTATGGTGGAAAATAAGTATTTGGTCAATAACAAAAGTTTCTCAATACTTTGTTATATACCCTTTGTTGGCAATGACACAGGTCAAACGTTTTCTGTAAGTCTTCACAAGGTTTTCACACACTGTTGCTGGTATTTTGGCCCATTCCTCCATGCAGATCTCCTCTAGAGCAGTGATGTTTTGGGGCTGTCGCTGGGCAACACAGACTTTCAACTCCCTCCAAACATTTTCTATGGGGTTGAGATCTGGAGACTGGCTAGGCCACTCCAGGACCTTGAAATGCTTCTTACGAAGCCACTCCTTCGTTGCCCGGGCGGTGTGCTTGGGATCATTGTCATGCTGAAAGACCCAGCCACGTTTCATCTTCAATGCCCTTGCTGATGGAAGGAGGTTTTCACTCAAAATCTCACGATACATGGCCCCATTCATTCTTTCCTTTACACAGATCAGTCGTCCTGGTCCCTTTGCAGAAAAACAGCCCCAAAGCATGATGTTTCCACCCCCATGCTTCACAGTAGGTATGGTGTTCTTTGGATGCAACTCAGCATTCTTTGTCCTCCAAACACGACGAGTTGAGTTTTTACCAAAAAGTTATATTTTGGTTTCATCTGACCATATGACATTCTCCCAATCCTCTTCTGGATCATCCAAATGCACTCTAGCAAACTTCAGACGGGCCTGGACATGTACTGGCTTAAGCAGGGGGACACGTCTGGCACTGCAGGATTTGAGTCTCTGGCGGCGTAGTGTGTTAATGATGGTAGGCTTTGTTACTTTGGTCCCAGCTCTCTGCAGGTCATTCACTAGGTCCCCCCGTGTGGTTCTGGGATTTCGGTCACCGTTCTTGTGATCATTTTGACCCCACGGGGTGAGATCTTGCGTGGAGCCCCAGATCGAGGGAGATTATCAGTGGTCTTGTATGTCTTCCATTTCCTAATAATTGCTCCCACAATTGATTTCTTCAAACCAAGCTGCTTACCTATTGCAGATTCAGTCTTCCCAGCCTGGTGCAGGTCTACAATTTTGTTTCTGGTGTCCTTTGACAGCTATTTGGTCTTGGCCATAGTGGAGTTTGGAGTGTGACTGTTTGAGGTTGTGGACAGGTGTCTTTTATACTGATAACAAGTTCAAACAGGTGCCATTCATACAGGTAACGAGTGGAGGACAGATGAGCCTCTTAAAGAAGAAGTTACAGGTCTGTGAGAGCCAGAAATCTTGCTTGTTTGTAGGTGACCAAATACTTATTTTCCACCATAATTTGCAAATAAATTCATTAAAAATCCTACAATGTGATTTTCTGGATTTTTTTTCCTCATTTTGTCTGTCATAGTTGACGTGTACCTATGATGAAAATTACAGGCCTCTCTCATCTTCTTAAGTGGGAGAACTTGCACAATTGGTGGCTGACTAAATACTTTTTTGCCCCACTGTATCTCATGTACAGGTTTACATATATGTACAGTACCAGTCAAAAGTTAGGACACTTGTTCAAGGGTTTTTCTTTTTTTAAACTATTTTCTACATTGTAGAATAATAGTAAAGACATCAGAACGATGAAATAACACATGGAATCATGTAGTAACCCCAAAAAGTGTTAAACAAATCAAAATATACTTTATATTTCAGATTCTTCAAATAGCCACCCTTTGTCGTGATGTCAAATTTGCACACTCGTGGCATTCTCTCAACCAGATGCAGAATGCTGTCGTCACAATTATTCTAAAACACTTTTTTGGTTACTACATGATTCCATATGTGTTATTTCATCGTTTTGATGTCTTCACTATTATTCTACAATGTAGAAAATAGTAAAAATAAAGAAAAACCCTTGAATGAGTAGGTGTGTCCAAACTTTTGACTGGTACTGTATGTCTGTCTACATATCAACAGTGCTGAACCAGGGTCATAAATGGTGATAGTCTTGCAGTGCAAAATATTGTACCATATTGTAAAAATGTCAATGAATTATTCACGTCATTGTGAATATACTGTACAATCAGTGTTGCACTTCTTTCATCAAAAGAGCCAAAGTATATTTTCTGGGCATCTATACAAGGAGGGCAGCGAAATCTGAACTAGGCCTACTTCACGCTTATAGATTACACTACTTGTAATATGCATGATTATTCATCAATATCCATAATTATTAGTATTTTGAGTAAACTAATTTTAGGTGTTGAAGTATTAATGTTAATGCATGGCTTATTAATACATTTGCGAGAATTCAGCATTCGTGGACACAAATGCTTTGAGCGTAAACATTACCAATACTGTCAACTGTCAATACAGGCCAGGGCATTCTCATCAAGGAGCGGTTTCTGGGCCCCAGAGCGTCATACTGTTTCCAAAACAGCTGCCACCTCCTTGAATTGACTGTAGAAGTTCTGCAAAGAGAGTAGGAAAAGTCTGTCAGTAAATAGAATAGATCGTAATTTGTTCTTCATTTTTTTTCTGACGCAATGTCACACGCACACAAACATACCTGTACATACATACACACACGACAGGCTGGGTTACCAACAGAGCAGGATCCTAAAGCAGTGTGTGTGTGTGTGTGTGTGTGTGTGTGTGTGTGTGTGTGTGTGTGTGTGTGTGTGTGTGTGTGGGGGGGGGGGGGGGGGGGGGGGTAGTGCTACTTACAGCAGTAACTCAACCGAGTTAGTCCAACATTCAGAGGTAAACTGGCTAAGGTATTTTACTTAAGAATAAAGGACAGTTGTACAGTAGCACCATATAAACAAACCCTTCAATCATCTCTAACATCACTCATCCATAGCTTTTAGATTAAGAATAAACTGACCTGGAATTGTGCAATGGTCATTTCAAAGGACCGTTGGGAGATCTGTCCAGAGGTGTCTGCGATCTTCAGCAGGAGGGAGACATAGGGGGAGTTGAGAGAGCGACAGGTGTCCGAGCTCACCGCCATGCCCAGCTTCCACTGCATGTCCACCAGCTAGACAGACAGGCACACCGAGGGTTAAATCAACAACAGCTCACTTGCAACTACAGATAGCAAAGCATTTACAGTGCATTCGAAAAGTATTCAGACGCCTTGACTTTTTCCACATTATTTTTTTATGTTTACGTTATTCTAAAATTGATTCAATATTATTTTTTTCTCATCAATCTACACACAATACCCAATAATAACAAAGTGAAAACAGGTTTTTAAAAATGGTTGAAAATGTATTAAAAATAAAAAATAAAAATACCTTATTTACATAACTATTCAGACCCTTTGCTATGAGACTTTGAGCTCAGGTGCATCCTGTTCCCATTGATTATCCTTGAGATTTTTGCAACTTGGAATCCACCTGTGGTAAATTCAATTGATTGGACATGATTTGGAAAAGCACACACCTGTCTATATAAGGTCCCACAGTTGACAGTGCATGTCAGAGCAAAAACCAAGCCATGAGGTCAAAGGAATTGTCCGTAGAGCTCCGAGACAGGATTCTGTCGAGGCACAGATCTGGGGAAGGCTACCAAAAAATATCCACAGCACTCCACCAATCAGGCCTTTATAGTAGAGTGGCCAGACGGAAGCCACCCCTCAGTAAAAGGCACATGACAGTCCGCTTGGAGTTTTCCAAAAGGCATCTAAAGGACTCAGACATGAAAAACAAGATTCTCTGGTCTGATGAAACCAATGCCAAGTGTCACATCTGGAGGAAACCTGGCACCATCCTTATGGTGAAGCATGGTGGTGGCAGCATCATGCAGTGGGGATGTTTTTCAGCGGCACTGACTTGAAGACTAGTCAGGATCGAAGGAAAGATAAACGGAGCAAAGTACAGAGAGATCCTTGATGAAAACCTACTCCAGAGCGCTCAGAACCTCAGACTGGGGCGAAGGTTCACCTTCCAACAAGACTACGACCCTAAGCACACAGCAAAGACAACGCAGGAGTGGCTTCGGGACAAGTCTCTGAATGTCCTTGAGTGTCCCAGCCAAAGCCCGGACTTGAACCCGATCTAACATCTCTGGATAGATCTGAAAATAGCTGTGCAGCGACGCTCCCCACTCAACCTGACAGAGCTTAAGAGGATCTGCAGAGAAGAATGGGAGAAACTCCCCAAATACAGATGTGCCAAGCTTGTTTGCGTTATACCCAAGAAGACTCAAGGCTGTAATCGCTGCCAAAGATGCTTCAACAAAGTACTGAGTAAAGGGTCTGAATACTTATGTAAATGTCATAAACTCTGTATTTCAAAGATAATTTGTAAAAATCCAAATAACTTCACAGATCTTAATTGTTAAGGGTTTAAACACTGTTTCCCATGCTTGTTCAATGAACCATGAACAATTAATGAACATGCACCTGTGGAACGGTCGTTAAGACACTAACAGCTTACAGACGGTAGGCAATTAAGATCACAGTTATGAAAACTATTGACTCTGAAAAACACCAAAAGAAAGATGCCCAGGGTCCCTGCTCATCTGCGTGAATGTGCCTTAGGCATGCTGCAAGGAGGCCTGAGGACTGCAGATGTGGCCAGGGCAATAAATTGCAATGTCCGTACCGTGAGACGCCTAAAACAGCGCTACAGAGAGACAGGACGGACAGCTGATCATCCTCACAGTGGCAGACCAAGTGTAACAACACCTGCACAGGATCGGTACATCTGAACATCACACTTGCGGGACAGGTACAGGATGGCAACAACAACTGCCTGAGTTACACCAGGAACACACAATCCCTCCATCAGTGCTCAGACTGTCCGCAATAGGCTGAGAGAGGCTGGACTGAGGGCTTGTAGGCCTGTTGTAAGGCAGGTCCTCACCAGACATCACCGGCAACAATGTCGCCTATGGGCACAAACCCACCGTCGCTGGACCAGACAGGACTGGCAAAAAGTGCTCTTCACTGACGAGTCGAGGTTTTGTCTCACCAGGGGTGATGGTCGGATTTGCGTTTATCGTCGAAGGAATGAGCGTTACACCGAGGCCTGTACTCTGGAGTGGGATCGATTTGGAGGTGGAGGGTCCGTCATGGTCTGGGGCGGTGCGTCACGGCATCATCGGACTGAGCTTGTTGTCATTGCAGGCAATCTCAACGCTGTGCGTTACAGGGAAGACATCCTCCTCCCTCATGTGGTACCCTTCCTACAGGCTCATCCTGACATGACCCTCCAGCATGACAATGTCACCAGCCATACTGCTCGTTCTGTGCGTGATTTCTTGCAAGACAGGAATGTCAATGTTCTGCCATGGCCAGCGAAGAGCCCGGATCTCAATCCCATTGAGCACGTCTGGGACCTGTTGGATCGGAGGGTGAGGGCTAGGGCCATTCCCCCCAGAAATGTCCGGGAACTTGCAGGTGCCTTAGTGGAAGAGCAGGGTAACATCTCACAGCAAGAACTGGCAAATCTGGTGCAGTCCATGAGGAGGAGATGCACTGCAGTACTTAATGCAGCTGGTGGTCACAGCAGATACTGACTGTTACTTTTGATTTTGACCCCCCCTTTGTTCAGGGACGCATTAATCCACATGTCTGTGGAACTTCTTCAGTTTATGTCTCAGTTGTTGAATCTTGTTATTTTCAAACAAATATTTACACGTTAAGTTTGCTGAAAATAAATGCAGTTGACAGTGAGAGGATGTTTCTTTAATTTTGTAATTTTTAATACATTTGTAAAAATTTATAAAAACCTGTTTTTACTTTGTCATTATGGGGTGTGTAGATTGATGAGGGAAAAAAACAATTTCATCCATTTTAGAATAAGATAGTAACGTAACAAAATGTGGAAAAAGTCAAGGGGTCTGACTACTTTCCGAATGCACTATATACAGACTGGGAAGCGCCATCTTAACCCTGTGATGGCCAGTGTGGACTGTGGATGCAAGCTTTTGCTCCTGGTAATGTAGCTTATTTAACTAATAAAGGCCATGTTCCAAGCCACTATACATAAATATTTAACATGTCAGTGACCGCATCAATACAATATTGTAATCTGATGTCCGACTGCAATGCACTGGTTCCTCAATAAAAAAAAACATTGAGCTTATGCCGGGACAGTTTGTGGTCAATTGCATAATTCTGTCATTGCGCCAAACTATCACAAGGGGGAGTTAGAATGCTGATCTATCGGTAGTCTAAACTGTGGCACAAATTGGGGGATTATTCACACCTAGCCGAGCTATTTTTATTTTATTTATTTAACCTTTATTTAACTAGGCAAGTCAGTTAAGAACAAATTCTTATTTACAATGACGGCCTATACCGGACAAACCCGGACGACGCTGGGCCAATTGTGCGCCACCCTATGGGACTCCCAATCACGTCCGGTTGTGATACAGCCTGGAATCTAACCATGGGGTCTGTAGTGACGCCTCAAGCACTGAGATGCAGTGCCTTAGACCGCTGCGCCACTCGGGAGCCCATCCTTTAGACTATCCTTTTGTAAATTAATGGAGGTGTGAATGTTTCAGTCCGAGAGTCAGTCTCCTCTCCCACTGGAGTCCTGCATCATGCAACAACACAAAACATCAGCTGGCGGGTGGTCCCGGAGTTGAGAGAGAATTTGGGTAAATACAATGGCGCAATTACACCTGACATGTGGACTGACCATTACATAAATGAAGAGTGGGTGTTATCTACCATGGAGTGGGACAGTGCAGCTAAAAACTGCAGATAACATAAGGCCAGCTATTGTGAAAGAACATCTTGTTGATTTCCTCTATCGCTTCAAGAGGCCTACTGTCCACCTGGTAATTCAGTGGTTCCAAAGGATAAAGCGTCACCTACAGATGGATTTGTGGTTTCAGAGAGAGGCCAGCTGCGAGCCTGCGACCAGGCACGGTGGGCTTTTGGCTTCTCTCCCTCTAAAAACAAAAATAAATAATTCTAAATAACAAACTGGCTTTATTTACCAGTGTGAAAGAGTGATAGCCCCTTTATATAAAGTGAGTTTCTGAAACACAGAGTCCTTCTTTGCTGATGTGAAGAAGAAACTGAATCAAAGAGAGTCCAGCGAGGACAGGGAGGTAAAAAAGGTTGCCCATATTTTCAAGACCTGAGCTACTTAAATGTATTTATTTTATTTATGAAATGTACTAGTTTATTTAGGCAATTTAATATCATTTATTTGTTTAGGCTTGGCCTATAGAGTAGGCTATTTTGCAGCAGTAAGCTATATTTGTCAGCATAAAGCTTTGTGAGTCACTCATTCGTGGCTTTGGCTTTGGATCAAGTACCAACATTCTACAATTGACGGAGTCACCCATGATTCACCAAATTATATTTTGAAGGAGGAAACAAAGTACTTTAAGCATATGTTTTCTTTTCAGTCGCCTCCATCTCCTCTAACTGAAGCTAATTGTAACGATTTTTTTTCAATTGATATTGTCAAATTAACAGCCATACAGAAAGACTCATGTGAAGGTGAAATTACAGAGGAGGAACTTCTGGATGCAATTAAAGACTTTAAGTCCGGGAAAACTCCAGGGTTGGATGGCATACCAGTCGAGGTATACCAAAACATTTTTGATATACTAAGAGGACCGTTATTAGCATGTTTTAACCACTCCTATGTAAATGGTAGATTATCTGACACTCAAGAAGAAGGTCTGATCTCATTATTACTGAAACAGGATACAAGTGGAAAATATAAAGATCGGAGTGTGACTGTTTGAGGTTGTGGACAGGTGTCTTTTATACTGATAACAAGTTCAAACAGGTGCCATTAATACAGGTAACGAGTGGAGGACAGAGGAGCCTCTTACAGGTCTGTGAGAGCCAGAAATCTTGCTTGTTTGTAGGTGACCAAATACTTATTTTCCACCATAATTTGCAAATAAATTCATTAAAAATCCTACAATGTGATTTTCTGGAGAAAAAAAATCTCAATTTGTCTGTCATAGTTGACGTGTACCTGTGATGAAAATTACAGGCCTCTCTCATCTTTTTAAGTGGGAGAACTTGCACAATTGGTGGCTGACTAAATACTTTTTCCCCCCACTGTATATGGGTTGTATGTTGGGAGCTTTTGGGAAAGAGCACAGTTAGATGTCGCATATAGAAGCAAACCGGATGGACATCATGAAAATTATCGGAGAGGTTGAGAGTAGAAGTAGTTCAGGACCAAATACAAAAAAAAACAAATAAAATATAATTATTGTAAAATTGACTGTGTCCATAAGGTGTAGATAGTAAGTATAGGCTGGAAGTAGAGGCCTGAGCATTGTTGTTCACTAATTTACCCCAAGTAGGGAAAGGATGGCGGGGTTGAAAAGTAATAAAGGGGAGTATATATACACTGCTCAAAAAAATTAAGGGAACACTTAAACAACACATCCTAGATCTGAATGAATGAAATAATCTTATTAAATACTTTTTTCTTTACATAGTTGAATGTGCTGACAACAAAATCACACAAAAATTATCAATGGAAATCAAATTTATCAACCCATGGAGGTCTGGATTTGGAGTCACCCTCAAAATTAAAGTGGAAAACCACACTACACGCTGATCCAACTTTGATGTAATGTCCTTAAAAAAAGTCAAAATGAGGCTCAGTAGTGTGTGTGGCCTCCACGTGCCTGTATGACCTCCCTACAACGCCTGGGCATGCTCCTGATGAGGTGGCGGATGGTCTCCTGAGGGATCTCCTCCCAGACCTGGACTAAAGCATCCGCCAACTCCTGGACAGTCTGTGGTGCAACGTGGCGTTGGTGGATGGAGCGAGACATGATGTCCCAGATGTGCTCAATTGGATTCAGGTCTGGGGAACGGGCGGGCCAGTCCATAGCATCAATGCCTTCCTCTTGCAGGAACTGCTGACACACTCCAGCCACATGAGGTCTAGCATTGTCTTGCATTAGGAGGAACCCAGGGCCAACCACACCAGCATATGGTCTCACAAGGGGTCTGAGGATCTCATCTCGGTACCTAATGGCAGTCAGGCTACCTCTGACGAGCACATGGAGGGCTGTGCGGCCCCCCAAAGAAATGCCACCCCACACCATGACTGACCCTCTGCCAAACCGGTCATGCTGGAGGATGTTGCAGGCAGCAGAACGTTCTCCACGGCGTCTCCAGACTCTGTCACGTCTGTCACATGTGCTCAGTGTGAACCTGCTTTCATCTGTGAAGAGCACAGGGCGCCAGTGGCGAATTTGCCAATCTTGGTGTTCTCTGGCAAATGCCAAACGTCCTGCACGGTGTTGGGCTGTAAGCACAACCCCCACCTGTGGACGTCGGGCCCTCATACCACCCTCATGGAGTCTGTTTCTGACCGTTTGAGCAGACACATGCACATTTGTGGCCTGCTGAAGGTCATTTTGCAGGGCTCTGGCAGTGCTCCTCCTTGCACAAAGGCGGAGGTAGCGGTCCTGCTGCTGGGTTGTTGCCCTCCTACGGCCTCCTCCACGTCTCCTGATGTACTGGCCTGTCTCCTGGTAGCGCCTCCATGCTCTGGACACTACGCTGACAGACACAGCAAACCTTCTTGCCACAGCTCGCATTGATGTGCCATCCTGGATGAGCTGCACTACCTGTGTGGGTTGTAGACTCCGTCTCATGCTACCACTAGAGTGAAAGCACCGCCAGCATTCAGAAGTGACCAAAACATCAGCCAGGAAGCATAGGAACTGAGAAGTGGTCTGTGGTCACCACCTGCAGAACCACTTCTTTATTGGGGGTGTCTTGCTAATTGCCTATAATTTCCACCTGTTGTCTATCCATTTGCACAACAGCATGTGAAATGTATTGTCAATCAGTGTTGCTTCCTAAGTGGACAGTTTGATTTCACAGAAGTGGGATTGACTTGGAGTTACATTGTGTTGTTTAAGTGTTCCCTTTATTTTTTTGAGCAGTGTATGTTGGAACATTGCTCCGGGGACTTGCTTCCATTCAGCCACGAGCATTAGTGAGGTCGGGCATTGATGTTGGGCGATTAGGCCTGGCTCACAGTTGGTGTTCCAATTCATCCCAAAGGATGAATGGGGTTGAGGTCAGGGCTCTGTGCAGGCCAGTCAAGTTCTTCCACAACGATCTCGACAAACCATTTTTGTATGGGCCTCGCTTTGTGCTCGGGGGCATTGTCATGCTGAAACAGGAAAGGGCCTTCCCCAAACTGTTGCCACAAAGTTGGAAGCACAGTATTTTTTTGAGCAGTGTATAAAAAACATGGGGGATTGGAAGTGATACAGACAATTACATTGATAGAAGTTACAATCTATCTGCAATATTAAGCTGATCTACCCCCAGAATGTATTTATTTATAATAAAATAAAAGTACCAACATACTTTCTGATCGTCTTTAATAAATAAATGTTTTGACAAAGTTAATCTACTTATGTTGTGTGTGTGTGTGTGTGTGTATGTATATGTGTTCAATTATTTGTGACATTGTGGTTACAATAAAGAATGCAAACGAAATAAATCAAATCAATCCTATTCATAATGAATAATCAGATGTGTGTTGCAAGCCTGTCATTTATTTTATTTTATTGTAAAATTGTATTTAATTTCTTTAGACAATACAAAACATACACATACAAACGACAACTACATCACACCTGCCCAGACCCACCTGCTCACACCCCCCATCTCCAGCGCCCGCATCACTTTCCGCTACATGGCCTCAAACTGCACCATTTTGTTTTCAACATTTGGATAATAAAGCATTTAAAGGCTGACATTGGTTTATTTTCAGTTTTTAAGTATACGTTTTTTCAAGATGATTGACGAGAAAAGTATTGTCCAACCCATAGGGTATCTCACAGCACCCTTATATGCCATGTCTTGAAATATGCAGACAGACAGATTAAAAGTTAATTTCCATTGTAATACTTCTGACAGCCAACTTTCTAACTCCGACCCATAACTTTTGGACTTTATAATATTCCCAGAAGTCACAGATTATTATAACCTAATTAAAAATTAACCTGGTAATCTAATTTAACGCAGGCCTGAGACCTATGGGTTTAACCTTGTGAATTAATGATTATATTGAAGATAGAATGAGTTCTGAGAGCCGATCCATTACCCAACAAAATAACATCAATTTCTTTAACCAAATTGTTTTCATGACTACAGACAGTAGCCTATTATTCCTCTTTTCCTACATTAATTAATTTGTCTGCATGTCTATTCAACATTTGGCTAAAAATAAACCACACCATGAATTAAGATATATTTTTATTTTTACGAAAGGATAGTCTAATAGCTCGCTCAGCTAGGTGTGAAAAATCCCTCAATTTGTGCCACAGTTTAGACTACCGATAGATGTTGCGGTCAGTCAGAGTTGTGGGTTGTGGGTTTGATTCCCACGGGGGAGCAGTACGGGAAAAAGTAAAAAATAAAAATTAATTGCCACTCACTACTATAAGTCGCTCTGGAAAAGAGCGTCTGCTAAATGACTACAATGTAACATTTAAATGTTGCAGTTTAATTATTCAAGGCTACCTTTGTTAATTCATTTTATAACTAAAATGCTTTACTGTATTTAAAGACATGGATGACATGTATGTTGAGTGATGACATGCACAAATGAATGAATTATTGATTGATATACTATATTGAAGTAGGCCTTTATGCCAATAAGTAAGTTACGTTAAAACAGCTACAGTAAACAGGACTGTTCGGCCTGCAGCTCCATGTCATTTCAATTACTTCATTTCAGTAAAAACCTTGAACACACCTGTCCCTGACTTTTCCTGAATATATGTGTATTTTGCACTCTAGCAGTAGGCCTACATTGAGATAAATAACATAAAATAAAAACGTTCAGATAATTTTTTCCTCAAATCGCCATGAAGGTCTTCTGCACCATATGCATTTTAACAGTAGAATTGCCGGGACTTGATGAGTAGCCTACCAATAACCGGCAGTCTAATAAATCAATTTAATATACACAATCACAAAGACATCCATCAATATTTTGTTTAGGGAGTTCATAAAAAACATGGTACTAAGACAATGTATTTCAAAAGAACAGAATAGCATGTTTTAAGATTTATTTATCTGTGCTATTGTAGCTGAGGCTATGGCTGAGCCATGTCAATGAAATTAACTTGTTCATTTAGCAGACATCGCATTCTTATATTCCCCAGACCTTTACAGTATGAATATGATGGAATATAACAGAATACAATAAAAATGAAATTTTCCCCAAAACGGTATTTGCTAATTGTCATCAGTAGGCATGGAGCTGTGGTTATTCAAGGAAAACATATTTTGAAAGGGAGACCATCTGTAAAACATTTTGTGTTGTTTGGCAAAACTAGGTTAATTAAAAACCTTAGAATATGCTCTTTTGGATATGGTATAGATAGCAATCCAAACGTCTGGCCTGCATGGACCTCTGTAGGATTATTTGGAAAAGTAAGCAAGCACCAACAAGCTTGATAAAGACTCCCGCAAATATTCCCTCTGGTGGTCAAACTAGCATTAATGGCAACCATGGCTGACAGTAACATACTATGACATCCTGCACTCCAACATGCCATAACATTCTGCAGCATCCCACAAGCTGTATGGAGCAACCATTAAATGAGGACCCACTGTAGATAACACGGCATTAAATCGTTGATCAATTTGTGCAGTGCGACTGCTTTGCAGACGCTCTGGAAGTGGCTTAAGTCTTGTGGAAGACTATGATTGGTTGATTAGATGAATCAGGTGTATTATACTGTAGCATGGTCTGGGGCAAAAGCCTGCACCCACACTTGCCCTTTGTGGGTACAATTTCCCACCCTTAATTAGGAGATTCCAATACCCCTTTCCAAAACTACCTTTAGCACCTTCTGTGCACTTCACGTGCTGCAAACTTCCTAGCTATACCTTGCCCTCCATGTCCAATGGTTTCAAATATACACAAGTGCCTATGGAGTAGGAGCTAGGAAGAAGCTAGGAGTTGACCTGGAGTTAAGCAAGAAGAGAATCCATTTGTTTTTGGTTGGCTCCAGTAGCAGGGTGTAGGCCTACCTGTCCGATGCTAAGCATGGCCTGGACCTCTTGGTGCGTGTTGACTAGGGTACCCTGATCACTCCACAGCCGGTGGAGCACCTGAAGAGCAGCTTTGGACCACTTACTGCTGCCCTCTCCCAGCCTAGCTACCAGTACATCAGCAGAGAGGTTGCTCTTTTCAGTGGACCTGTTAAAATAGCACCAATGTGTTTATTTAACACAGTTGTCTGAACCCAGTCAACTTATACAGTGCATTTGGAAAGTATTCAGACCCCTTCCCCTTTTTCGACATTTTGTTACGTTACAGCCTTATTCTAAAATGTATTAAATAGTTGTTTTTCTCAAATCTAGACACGATACCCCATACTGACAAAGCAAAAACAGTTTTATAGAAATGTTTGCAAATTAATAACAATTGCTTTTTGAAATATAACATTTACATAAGTATTCAGACCCTTTACTCAGTACTTTGTTGAAACACCTTTGGCAGCGATTCCAGCCTTGAGTCTTTGGTATGATGCTACAAGCTTGGCACACTGTCAGGTTGGATGGGGAGCATCGCTGCAAAGCTAAACTCAGCAAAAAATTGTCGAAGGAATGTGCGTTACACCAAGGCCTGTACTCTGGAGCGGGATCGATTTGGAGGTGGAGGGTCCGTCATGGTCTGGGGCGGTGTGTCACAGCATCATTGGACTGAGCTTGTTGTCATTGCAGGCAATCTCAACGCTGTGCGTTACAGGGAAGACATCCTCCTCTCTCATGTGGTACCCTTCCTGCAGGCTCATCCTGACATGACCCTCCAGCATGACAATGTCACCAGCCATACTGCTCATTCTGTGTGTGATTTCCTGCAAGACAGGAATGTCAGTGTTCTGCCATGGCCAGCGAAGAGCCCGGATCTCAATCCCATTGAGCACATCTGGGACCTGTTGGATCGGAGGGTGAGGGCTAGGGCCATTCCCCCCAGAAATGTCAGGGAACTTGCAGGTGCCTTGGTGGAAGAGTGGGGTAACATCTCACAGCAAGAACTGGCAAATCTGGTGCAGTCCATGAGGAGGAGATGCACTGCAGTACTTAATGCAGCTGGTGGCCACAGCAGAGACTGACTGTTACTTTAGATTTTGACCCCCCCCCCCCCCTTTGTTCAGGGACACATTATTCAATTTGTGTTAGTCACATGTCTGTGGAACTTGTTCAGTTTATGTGTCAGTTGTTGCATCTTGTTATGTTCATACAAATATATACACATGTTAAGTTTGCTGAAAATAAACGCAGTTCACAGTGAGAGAACGTTTCTTTTTTTGCTGAGTTTATTTTCAGGTCTCTCCAGAGATGTTCGATCGGTTTCAAGTCCGAGCTCTGGCTGGGCCACTCAAGGACATTCAGAGACTTGTCCCAAAGCCACTCCTGCGTTCTTGGTTGTGTGCTTAGGGTCATTGTCCTGTTGGAAGGTGAACCTTCATCCCCAGTCTGAGGTCCTGAGCGCTTTCTCTGTACTTTCATCTTTCCATTGATCCTGACTAGTCTCCCAGTCCCTTCCGCTGGAAAATATCCCCACAGCATGATGCTGCCACCACCATGCTTCACAGTAGGGAAGGTCCTTCTGGAAGGTTCTCCCATCTCCACAGAGGAACTCTGGAGCTCTATCAGAGTGACCATCGGGTTCTTGGTCACCTCCTTGACCAAGGCCCTTCTCCACCAATTGCTTAGTTTGGCCGGGAGACCAGCTCTAGGAAGAGTCTTGGTGGTTCCAAACTTCTTCCATTTAACAATGATGGAGGCCACTGTGTTCTTGGGGACCTTCAATGCTGCAGACATTTTTTGGTACCCTTTCCCAGATCTGTGCCTCGACAAAATCCTGTCTCTGAGCTCTACAGACAATTCCTTCAACCTCATGGCTTGGTTTTTGCTCTGACATGCACTGTCAACCGTGGGACCTTATATAGACAGGTGTGTGCATTTCCAAATCATGTCCAATCAATTAAATGTACCACAGGTGGACTCCAATCAAGTTGTAGACACATCTCAAGGACGATCAATGGAAACAGGATGTACCTGATCTCAATTTCGAGTCTCTTAGCAAAGGGTCCGAATACTTATGTAAATAAGGTATTTTTTATACACATTTATTTTATACATTTGGAAAAATATTATAAAAACCTGCTTCCGCTTTGTCATTATGGGGTATTGTTTGTAGATTGATGAGGGGGAAACATTTTTTAAATCAATTTTAGAATAAAGCTGTAATGTAACAAAATGTGGAAAAAGTCAAGGGGTCTGAATACTTTCCGAATGCACTGTACACATTCATTCAAACCCACAACTCAAAAACTCACCCACAAAATATTGAAAAATAAGTGACTCTCCAAATAAATAAAACCAATTACTTTAGTAACAAATCATAGCCATGGCCCTGAAGCCACTACCCACAACTGGTTCCTGACCTATCAAAGGAGGAGCAAACACAAGCTCGATGTGCATACTGAACGCTGCATGGATGGATATACACTGCTCAAAAAAATTAAGGAAACACTTAAACAACACATCCTAGATCTGAATGAATGAAATAATCTTATTAAATACTTTTTTCTTTACATAGTTGAATGTGCTGACAACAAAATCACACAAGAATTATCAATGGAAATCAAATTTATCAACCCATGGAGGTCTGGATTTGGAGTCACCGTCAAAATTAAAGTGGAAAACCACACTACAGGCTAATCCAACTTTGATGTAATGTCCTTAAAACAAGTCAAAATGAGGCTCAGTAGTGTGTGTGGCCTCCACGTGCCTGTATGACCTCCCTACAACGCCTGGGCATGCTCCTGATGAGGTGGCGAATGGTGTCCTGAGGGATCTCCTCCCAGACCTGGACTAAAGCATCCGCCAACTCCTGGACAGTCTGTGGTGCAACGTGGCGTTGGTGGATGGAGCGAGACATGATGTCCCAGATGTGCTCAATTGGATTCAGGTCTGGGGAACGGGCGGGCCAGTCCATAGCATCAATGCCTTCCTCTTGCAGGAACTGCTGACACACTCCAGCCACATGAGGTCTAGCATTGTCTTGTATTAGGAGGAACCCAGGGCCAACCGCACCAGCATATGGTCTCACAAGGGGTCTGAGGATCTAATCTCGGTACCTAATGGCAGTCAGGCTACCTCTGGCGAGCACATGGAGGGCTGTGCGGCCCCCCAAAGAAATGCCACCCCACACCATGACTGACCCACCGCCAAACCGGTCATGCTGGAGGATGTTGCAGGCAGCAGAACGGTGTTGCACGGTGTTGGGCTGTAAGCACAATCCCCACCTGTGGACATAGGGCCCTCATACCACCCTCATGGAGTCTGTTTCTGACCGTTTGAGCAGACACATGCACATTTGTGGCCTGCTGGAGGTCATTTTGCAGGGCTCTGGCAGTGCTCCTCCTTGCACAAAGGCGGAGGTAGCGGTCCTGCTGCTGGGTTGTTGCCCTCCTACGGCCTCCTCCACATCTCCTGATGTACTGGCCTGTCTCCTGGTAGCGCCTCCATGCTCTGGACACTACGCTGACAGACACAGCAAACCTTCTTGCCACAGCTCGCATTGATGTGCCATCCTGGGTGAGCTGCACTACCTGAGCCACTTGTGTGGGTTGTAGACTCCGTCTCATGCTACCACTAGAGTGAAAGCACCGCCAGCATTCAAAAGTGACCAAAACATCAGCCAGGAAGCATAGGAACTGAGAAGTGGTCTGTGGTCACCACCTGCAGAACCACTTCTTTATTGGGGGTGTCTTGCTAATTGCCTATAATTTCCACCTGTTGTCTATTCCATTTGCACAACAGCATGTGAAATGTATTGTCAATCAGTGTTGCTTCCTAAGTGGACAGTTTGATTTCACAGAAGTGTGATTGACTTGGAGTTACATTGTGTTGTTTAAGTGTTCCCTTAATTTTTTGGAGCAGTGTATTTATGAGTGCAGAAGTTTCATGGTTGCGGATTACAAACAGCTACAATACCTGAATGTTAACAAGAGAAATTGGACAACCTCCTGTAGAGCCTCTTTGTCAAGTTGGATCCCAGCTTTTTGAAACTTCTGCATAGAAAATGGAAGAAAACGTGTTACAAAATCAGATCATGTGAATATGGTTTAGTTTAGGGAGTGAAAGGAAGGCACAGTGGAAATTCTGTGACAGTGTGTTGACTCACATCAGAGATTTCAGCAGAATCTACTCCCCTGGCCTGCCCTTGGAGATGACTCAGAATCTGCTGACACTGCATGGGGAGATTATCAGATCCACATCCTCAATAACAACAGCTCCTAAAATGGTGACTGAACGACTGCTGCATCAATACACGCTTTCTAATACAAAAGTATTGTATTTCAATACATCTGACTATGTGACTGGTCGTTTGCTGTATCGATGCACTCTAATAAAAATACATCTGACTATGGTCTACTGAATAATAGGGATATTTGGTCCAAATGTTTTTATTTGTATCTGTCAATGGTGATACAGCTGAGCAAGTGTAGTCGGTGCCAGTATAGATGTATGGAGGACCAAACCTGTCATAATTTGAAATAAATGAATAAATGCACACATAAATGGATGAATGAATGCCAGGGCTTGTCCTCTTGTCCGGGACAAAAAAAGTGTTAAACAAATCAAAATATATTATATATTTGAGATTCTTCAAAGTAGCCACCCTTTGCCTTGATGACAGCTTTGAACACTCTTGGCATTCTCTCAAACAGCTTCACCTGGAATGCTTTTCCAACAGTCTTGAAGGAGTTCCCACATATGCTGAGCACTTGTTGGCTGCTTTTCCTTCATTCTACAGTCCAACTCATCCCAAACCATCTCAATTGGGTTGAGGTCGGGTGATTGTGGAGGCCAGGTCATCTGATGCTGCACTCCATTACTCTGATTAAGTGTGCCTTGAATTCTAAATAAATCACAGACAGTGTCACCAGCAAAGCATCCCCACACCATCACACCTCCTCCTCCATGCTTCACGGTGGGAACCACACATTCGAAGATAATCCGTTCCCCATCTCTGCGTCTCACAAAGGCATGGCGGTTGGAACCAAAAACCTCAAATTTGGACTCCAAAGGACAGATTTCCACCTATCTAATGTCCATTGCTCATGTTTCTTGACCCAAGCAAGTGTCTTCTTCTTTTTGATGTCTTTTAGTAGTGGTTTCTTTGCAGCAATTCGACCATGAAGGTAGATTCACAGTCTTCTCTGAACAGTTGATGTTGAGGTACCTGTTACTTGAACTCCGTGAAGCATTTATTTGGGCTGCAATCTGAGGTGTATTTAATTGCCGATTTCTGAGGCTGGTAACTCTAATGAATTTATCCTCTGCAGCAGAGGTAACTCTGAGTCTACCTTTCCTGTGGTGGTCCTCATGAAAGCCAGTTTCATCATAGTGCTTGATGGTTTTTGCGACTGCTGTTGAGCTGTTCTTGCCATAATATGGACTTGGTCTTTTACCAAATAGGGCTATCTTCTGCATACCAACCCTACCTTGTCACAACACAACTGATAGGCTCAATCGCATTAAGATGGAAAGAAATTCCACAAATAAACTTTTAACAAGGCACACCTGTTAATTATATGCATTCCAGGTGACTACCTCATGAAGCTGGTTGAGAGAATGCCAAGTGTGTGCAAAGCTGTCATCAAGGCAAAGGGGGGCTACTTTGAAGAATCTCAAATAAAATATATATTTTGATTTGTTTAACACTTTTTTGGTTACTAAATGATTCCATATGTGTTATTTCATAGTTTTAATGTATTCAATATTATTCTACAATGTAGAAAAGAGCAAAAATAAAGAAAAACACTGGAATGAGTAGGTGTGTCCAAACTTTTGACTGGTACTGTATATATATACAGTGGGGAGAACAAGTATTTGATACACTGCCAATTTTGCAGGTTTTCCTACTTACAAAGCATGTAGAGGTCTGTAATTTTTATCATAGGTACACTTCAACTGTGAGAGACGGAATCTAAAACAAAAATCCAGAAAAACACATTGTATGATTTTTAAGTAATTAATTTGCATTTTATTGCATGACATAAGTATTTTATCACCTACCAACCAGTAAGAATTCCGGCTCTCACAGACCTGTTAGTTTTTCTTTAAGAAGCCCTCCTGTTCTCCACTCATTACCTGTATTAACTGCACCTGTTTGAACTCATTACCTGTATAAAAGACACCTGTCCACACACTCAAACAGACTCCAACCTCTCCACAATGGCCAAGACCAGAGAGCTGTGTAAGGACATCAGGGATAACATTGTAGACCTGCACAAGGCTGGGATGGGCTTCAGGACAATAGGCAAGCAGCTTGGTGAGAAGGCAACAACTGTTGGCGCAATTATTAGAAAATGGAAGAAGTTCAAGATGACGGTCAATCACCCTCGGTCTGGGGCTCCATGCAAGATCTCACCTCGTGGGGCATCAATGATCATGAGGAAGGTGAGGGATCAGCCCAGAACTACACGGCAGGACCTGGTCAATGACCTGAAGAGAGCTGGGACCACAGTCTCAAAGAAAACTATTAGTATAACACTACACCGTCATGGATTAAAATCCTGCAGCGCACGCAAGGTCCCCCTGCTCAAGCCAGCGCATGTCCAGGCCCGTCTGAAGTTTGCCAATGACCATCTGGATGATCCAGAGGAGGAATGGGAGAAGGTCATGTGGTCTGATGAGAAAAAAATAGAGCTTTTTGGTCTAAACTCCACTCGCCGTGTTTGGAGGAAGAAGAAGGATGAGTACAACCCCAAGAACACCATCCCAACCGTGAAGCATGGAGGTGGAAACATCATTCTTTGGGGATGCTTTTCTGCAAAGGGGACAGGACGACTGCACCGTATTGAGGGGAGGATGGATGGGGCCATGTATCGCAAGATCTTGGCCAACAACCTCCTTCCCTCAGTAAGAGTATTGAAGATGGGTCGTGGCTGGCTCTTCCAGCATGACAACGACCCGAAACACACCGCCAGGGCAACTAAGGAGTAGCTCCGTAAGAAGCATCTCAAGGTCCTGGAGTGGCCTAGCCAGTCTCCAGACCTGAACCCAATAGAAAATCTTTGGAGGGAGCTGAAAGTCTGTATTGCCCAGCGACAGCCCCGAAACCTGAAGGATCTGGAGAAGGTCTGTATGGAGGAGTGGGCCAAAATCCCTGCTGCAGTGTGTGCAAACCTGGTCAAGACCTACAGGAAACGTATGATCTCTGTAATTGCAAACAAAGGTTTCTGTACCAAATATTAAGTTCTGCTTTTCTGATGTATCAAATACTTATGTCATGCAATAAAATGCAAATTAATTGTATATACAGTGGGGAGAACAAGTATTTGATACACTGCCGATTTTGTAGGTTTTCCTACTTACAAAGCATGTAGAGGTCTGTCATTTTTATCATAGGTACACTTCAACAGTGAGAGACGGAATCTAAAACAAAAATCCAGAAAATCACATTGTATGATTTTTAAGTAATTAATTTGCATTTTATTGCATGACATAAGTATTTGATACATCAGAAAAGCAGAACTTAATATTTGGTACAGAAACTCCTTAGTTGCCCTGGCTGTGTGTTTCGGGTCGTTGTCATGCTGGAAGACCCAGCCATGACCCATCTTCAATGCTCATACTGAGGGAAGGAGGTTGTTGGCCAAGATCTCGCGATAAATGGCCCCCTCCATCCTCCCCTCAATACGGTGCAGTCGTCCTGTCCCCTTTGCAGAAAAGCATCCCCAAATAATGATGTTTCCACCTCCATGCTACACGGTTGGGATGGTGTTCTTGGGGTTGTACTCATCCTTCTTCTTCCTCCAAACACGGCGAGTGGAGTTTAGACCAAAAAGCTCTATTTTTGTCTCATCAGACCACATGACCTTCTCCCATTCCTCCTCTGGATCATCCAGATGGTCATTGGCAAACTTCAGATGGGCCTGGACTTGCGCTGGCTTGAGCTTCAGATGGGCCTGGACTTGCGCTGGCTTGAGCTTGCGTGCGCTGCAGGATTTTAATCCATGACGGTGTAGTGTGTTACTAATGGTTTTCTTTGAGACTGTGATCCCAGCTCTCTTCAGGTCATTGACCAGGCCCTGCCGTGTAGTTCTGGGCTGATCCCTCACCTTCCTCATGATCATTGATGCCCCACGAGGTGAGATCTTGCATGGAGCCCCAGACCGAGGGTGATTGACCGTCATCTTGAACTTCTTCCATTTTCTAATAATTGCGCCAAAAGTTGTTGCCTTCTCACCAAGCTGCTTGCCTATTGTCCTGTAGCCCATCCCAACCTTGTGCAGGTCTACAATTTTATCCCTGATGTCCTTACACAGCTCTCTGGTCTTGGCCATTGTGGAGAGGTTGGAGTCTGTTTGATTGAGTGTGTGGACAGGTGTCTTTTATACAGGTAACGAGTTCAAACAGGTGCAGTTAATACAGGTAATGAGTGGAGAACAGGAGGGCTTCTTAAAGAAAAACTAACAGGTCTGTGAGAGCCGGAATTCTTACTGGTTGGTAGGTGATCAAATACTTATGTCATGCAATAAAATGCAAATTAATTACTTAAAAATCATACAATGTGATTTTCTGGATTTTTGTTTTAGATTCCGTCTCTCACAGTTGAAGTGTACCTACGATAAAAATTACAGACCTCTACATGCATTGTAAGTAGGAAAACCTGCAAAATCGGCAGTGTATCAAATACTTGTTCTCCCCACTGTATATATATATACACACACACACACACACACACACACACACACACACACACACACACACACACACACTACCTGACCAATATGGACAATATCGAACATCTCATTCCAAAATCATGGGTATGAATATGGAGTTGGTCCCCCCTTTGCTGCTATAACAGCCTCCACTCTTCTGGGAAGGCATTCCCCTAGATGTTGGAACATTGTTTGCGGGGACTTGCTTCCATTCAGCCACAAAAGCATTAGTGAGGTCCGGCACTGATGTTGGGCGATTAGGCCTGGCTCGCAGTCAGCGTTCAAATTCATCCCAAAGGTGTTAGATAGGATTGAGGTCAGGGCTCTGTGCAGGCCAGTCAAGTTCTTCCACACCGATCTCGACAAACCATTTCTGTATGGACCTTGCTTGCGCATGGGGGCATTGTCATGCTGAAACAGGAAAGGGCTTCCCCAAACTGTTGCCACAAAGTTGGAAGCACAGAATAATCTAGAATGTAATTGTATGCCGTAGTGTAACGATTTCCCTTCACTGGAACTAAGGGGCCTAGCCCGAACCATGAAAAACAGCCCTAGACCAGTATTCCTCCTCCACCAAACTTTAGTTGGCACTATGCATTGGGGCAGGTAGCGTTCTCCTGGAATCTGACAAACCCAGATTAGTCCCTCTGACTGCCAGATGGTGAAGCGTGATTAATTACTCCAGAGAACGCGTTTCCACTGCTCCAGAGTCCAATGGCAGCGAGTTTAACACCACTCCAGCCGACGCTTGGCATTGCGCATGGTGATCTTAGGCCTGTGTGCAGCTGCTTGGTCATGGAAACCCATTTCATGAAGCTCCCGACTAATAGTTATTGTGCTGACGTTGCTTCCAGAGGCAGTTTGGAACTGGGTAGTGAGTGTTGCAACCGAGGACAGACTATTTTTACATGCTACGCACTTTAGCACACGCCAGTCCCTTTCTGTGAGCTTGTGTGGCCTACCACTTCGCGGCTGAGCCGTTGTTGCACCTAGACGTTTCCACTTCACAATAACGGCACTTACAGTTGACCAGGGCAGCTCTAGCAGGGCAGAAATTTGACAAACTGACTTGTGGGAAAGGTGGCATCCTATGAGGGTGGCACTTTGAAAGTCAATGAGCTTTTCAGTAAGACCATTCTACTGCTAATGTTTGTCTATGGAGATTGCATGGCTGTGTGTTCGATTTTATACACCTGTCAGCAATGGGTGTGGCTGAAATAGCCGAATCCACTAATTTGAAGGGGTGTCCACATAATTTTGTATATATAATGTACCTTTAATATACACTGCTCAAAAAAATAAAGAAAACACTTAAACAACACAATGTAACTCCAAGTCAATCACACTTCTGTGAAATCAAACTGTCCACTTAGGAAGCAACACTGATTGACAATAAATGTCACATGCTGTTGTGCAAATGGTATAGACAACAGGTGGAAATTATAGGCAATTAGCAAGACACCCCCAATAAAGGACTGGTTTTGCAGGTGGTGACCACAGACCACTTCTCAGTTCCTATGCTTCCTGGCTGATGTTTTGGTCACTTCTGAATGCTGGCGGTGCTTTCACTCTAGTGGTAGCATGAGACGGAGTCTACAACCCACACAAGTGGCTCAGGTAGTGCAGCTCATCCAGGATGGCACATCAATGCGAGCTGTGGCAAGAAGGTTTGCTGTGTCTGTCAGCATAGTGTCCAGAGCATGGAGGCGCTACCAGGAGACAGGCCAGTACATCAGGAGACGTGGAGGAGGCCGTAGGAGGGCAACAACCCAGCAGCAGGACCGCTACCTCCGCCTTTGAGCAAGGAGGAGCAGGAGGAGCACTGCCAGAGCCCTGTAAAATGACCTCCAGCAGGCCACAAATGAGCATGTGTCTGCTCAAACGGTCAGAAACAGACTCCATGAGGGTGGTATGAGGGCCCTATGTCCACAGGTGGGGGTTGTGCTTACAGCCCAACACCGTGCAGGACGTTTGGCATTTGCCAGAGAACACCAAGATTGGCAAATTCGCCACTGGCGCCCTGTGCTCTTCACAGATGAAAGCAGGTTCACACTGAGCACATGTGACAGACGTGACAGAGTCTGGAGACGCCGTGGAGAACGTTCTGCTGCCTGCAACATCCTCCAGCATGACCGGTTTGGCAGAGGGTCAGTCATGGTGTGGGGTGGCATTTCTTTGGGGGGCCGCACAGCCCTCCATGTGCTCGTCAGAGGTAGCCTGACTGCCAATAGGTACCGAGATGAGATCCTCAGACCCCTTGTGAGACCATATGCTGGTGTGGTTGGCCCTGGGTTCCTCCTAATGCAAGACAATGCTAGACCTCATGTGGCTGGTGTGTGTCAGCAGTTCCTGCAAGAGGAAGGCATTGATGCTATGGACTGGCCCGCCCGTTCCCCAGACCTGAATCCAATTGAGCACATCTGGGACATCATGTCTCGCTCCATCCACCAACGCCACGTTGCACCACAGACTGTCCAGGAGTTGGCGGATGCTTTAGTCCAGGTCTGGGAGGAGATCCCTCAGGAGACCATCCGCCACCTCATCAGGAGCATGCCCAGGCGTTGTAGGGAGGTCATACAGGCACGTGGAGGCCACACACACTACTGAGCCTCATTTTGACTTGTTTTAAGGACATTACATCAAAGTTGGATCAGCCTGTAGTGTGGTTTCCCACTTTAATTTTGAGGGTGACTCCAAATCCAGACCTCCATGGGTTGATACATTTGATTTCCATTGATAATTTTTGTGTGATTTTGTTGTCAGCACATTCAACTATGTAAAGAAAAAAGTATTTAATACGATTATTTCATTCATTCAGATCTAGGATGTGTTCTTTTAGTGTTCCCTTTATTTTTTTGAGCAGTGTATATACACAGTGCATTCTGGAAGTATTCAGACCCTTTGACATTTTCCACATTTTGTTACGTTACAACCTTATTCTAAAATTGATTAAATACATGTTTCTCATCAATCTACACACAATACCCCATAATGACAAAGCGAAAACAGGTTCTTAGAAATGTTTGCACATTCATTAAAAAGAAAAACAGAAATATCTTATTCACATCAGTATTCAAACCCTTTGCTATGAGACTCGAAATTGAGCTCAGGTGCATCCTCTTTTCATTAATCATCCTTGATATGTTTTTACAACTTGATCCACCTGTGGTAAATTCAATTGATTGCACATGATTTGGAAAGGCACACACCTGTCTATATAAGGTCCCACAGTTGACACTGCATGTCAGAGCAAAAACCAAGCCATGAGGTTGAAGGAATTGTCCGTAGAGCTCCGAGACAGGATTGTGTCCAGGCAGAGATCTGGGGAAGGGTACCACAACATTTCTGCAACATTGAAGGTCCCCAAGAACACAGTGGCCTCCATCATTCTTAAATGAAAGAAGTTTAGAACCACCAAGACTCTTCCTAGAGCTCGGCTAAACTGAGCAATCAAGGGAGAAGGGCCTTGGTCATGGAGGTGACCAAGAACCTGATGGTCCCTCTGACAGAGCTCCAGAATCCCTCTGTGGAAATGGGAGAACCTTCCAGAAGGATAACTATCTCTGCAGCATTCCACCAATCAGGCTTTTATGGTAGTGGCCAGATGGAAGTGCCACTCGTCAGTAAAAGGCACATGACAGCCCGCTTGGAGTTTGCCAAAAGGCACCTAAAGGACTCTCAGACCATGGGAAACAAGATTATATGTTCTGATGAAACCAAGATTGAACCCTTTGGCCTGAATGCCAAGCGTCACGTCGGGAGGAAACCTGCCCTACGGTAAAGCATGGTGGTGGCAGCATCATACTGTGGGGATGTTTTTCAGAGGCAGGGACTGGGAGACTAGGCAGGATCGAGGGAAAGATGAACGATGCAAAGTACAGAGATATCCTTGATAAAAACCTTCTCCGGAGCGCTCAGGACCTCAGACTGGGGCGAAGGTTCACCTTCCAAGAGGACAACGCAGGAGTGGCTTCGGGTCAAGTCTCTGAATGTCCTTGAGTGGCCCAGCCAGAGCCCAGACTTGAACCCGATCGAACAACTGGAGGGACCTGAAAATAGCTGTGCAGCAACGCTCCCCATCCAACCAAGAATGGGAGAAACTCCCCAAATAGTTGTGCCAAGCATGTAGCGCCATACCCATGAAGACTCGAGGCTGTAATCGCTGCCAAAGGTGTTTCAACAAAGTACTGAGTAGAGGGTCTGAATACTTATGGAAATGTGATATTTCCATTTTTAATAAATTAGCAAACATTTTATTTTTTTTAACTGTTTTTGCTTTGTCATTATGGGGTATTGTGTGTAGATTGATGAGGGGGGGAAACAATTTCATCCATTTTAGAATAAGGCTGTAAAGTAAAAACAAAATGTGGAAAAAGTCAAGAGGTCTGAATACTTTCAGAATGCACTGTGTGTGTATATGAGAGAGAGAGGAGTTAGGCCAATGCGGTTGAATGTTCCGAGTGTGCCACTTTCGCCTCCATAGCCGTTGCAAGTGATAACGCTTCCGCATTGTGCTGTTTATTTCTGATAGTTTTCAAAACCTATGAAGACGTCCAGTGACACTACAACACAGTAAAGACTTGGATACACATTATCCCGAATGCTAATCAATAAAAACGTCTTAAATTCGCTGCTCTGTTTTGCTTGTTTACAGCGGGTCATTTCATAGAAGGGATCCGCTGTTGGAGGTGTTCTCGTGTTATTACATCGCCAACATTTCAAGAATGAAGTTCTATATGGGCGCTAACATCAGAGTATACAAAACATTAAGAACACCTGCGCTTTCCATGACAGATTGACCAGGTGAAAGCTATGATCCCTTATTGATGTCACTTATTAAATCCACTTCAATCAGTGTAGATGAAGGGGAGGAGACAGGTTCAAGGATTTTTAAGCCTTGAGACAACTGATACATGGATTGTGTATGTGTGCCATTCAGAGGGTGAATGGACAAGGCAAAATATTTAAGTGCCTTTGAACAGGGTATGGTAGTAAGTGCCAGCCGCACCGGTTTGTGTCAAGAACTGCAACGCTGCTGGGTTTTTCACGTGCAACAGTTTCCCGTGTGTATCAAGAATGGTCCACCACTCAAATGACATCCAGCCAACTTGACACAACTGTGGGAAGCATTGGAATCAACACGGGCCAGCATCCCTGTGGAACGCTTTCGACAACTGGTGGAGTCCATGATCCGAAGGAATTGAGGCTGTTCTGAGGGCAACTCAATATTAAGAAGGTGTTTCTAAGGTTTGGTATACTCAGTGTATATGGCTCTGGATTGGCCTATCACTCCAATCAGTACATCTGAAAAAAATTATGTGCATGTGGTACTTTTTCAAGCATCTCATCTTTCTCAATTCATGCCATGGGAAATGACAGACAGGATGTCCTTACTGTTTCTGCCAATACATCTGGTGGGAGTCTTCCAATGTTTTCCACAGTTTGGTCAACACCTAAAAACCACAGAAGTTGATTAGTTAGTAAAAAAAAAAAAAAAAAAGGCAAGCCCATTAGCTACCTAGCTAGTTAGCCAAGTCCGTGAGTGTGTAACGTTATACGTTAGCGAACTACCTAGCTATTGGGTATATTCCCATTTTGCATTTATTCATTAGTTGGATCCTTCACATATATCTACAGTCATTGGCTGGATCAATGAAATTATGTAAGCACATCCTAAAGTTAGAAAAGTGTTAACTATGGCAAGTCTTCACATCAGCTACAAAAGGAGTAACGTTAGCTAGCTAGTTAGCTATTGTGCGTCTTCCCATTTTGCATGTATTCATTAATTGGATCTCAATTCGATGATTTATGCACATCGCAAAGTTAACTAGCTAACACTTTCCTATGGCAAGTCTTCACATCAACTACAAAAATAGTAACGTTGACAGTTTGGCAAATGATAAACGGGGAAACCTTTGGTTTCGCTGTGTTTAACGTTACAAGTTCTCATTACTCGCGTAGCTATTATCTAACCGTTACCTAGCTAGCTAACTAACAACAAGCTATGTTAACGTCTCATATTCTGTTGAAATACTGCACCCACTTGCCGATGAATCTAACCCCGGCATCTCTGATCACAAGGACGGATGAGGATCTGAGTAGATAAGCAACGAAGTGGGATCCACAATGAACAACATCTTTCACCGGATGTATAAATGTGAAGCATCCGTTTGGCGGTTCCACTCACTACCAAATGTGGTGATGAGAGGAAGCCCAGTGGCCGTCAGTGGGAGTAGATGGCGTGAGATGGATTTTGGCCGACATTTTGCAAATTTTCTCATCGATGAAACATTTAATCTCATACAGTTTTCTGTTTCCAAAATTAGAATCTGTAACAAACAGAGTGGCCTGCGTTTTGTAGAATTTAACCTTTGCCAAAGTTTCAAAAAATGGTGTTGGTTTGAAGGAGTGCAAGGGCGAATTAAGTTATAGCACTCGCGCACTTCACAGAGGAGGCGTTCTCTTCTTCTATGGTATAATGGCGTTCGCAACAATTAAATGTGCATTCCGCCACCTACTGGCGGGGGGTTAATAAGGAACCCCAAAAAGTAAAAAACATTTGGGTAAAAATAAAATATCATACTAACTACCAAAAAAAGAAATTGACCAAACAAAATCAACCTGCTTTTCTGTAAAAAACTCATTTTAATCAGGTCCCAACACAGGCTCAGAAGCCTCCTGTGAGGGCGGGACATTTCCTATCGACAAAAGTCGTAGTGCTTCTGCCGTGAAGTCTTGGAGCCCCAAAAACATCTCGGCTGCAGATATAAAGATATCCAGCTTCTTTGACTTCTTAAACACTTGTACAATGAATCACTGTGGCTATAAATGCCACAAAATCCACCTTCTTCACAATGAGTGTATCCAGATCACCCGATTGACTTAAAACACTATCAACTGGTTGCAATGCGTCGACCGCCATATCTTCAACACTGTTGCCTCTTGCCCCTTCGACTCTCTTCACCGCCTCCACATAAAAGATCCACTGTGCAGCCCTGATCCTTGACACCTTGACCTCCTTCACCCTAACAGGGCACTCAAGGAAGTCCGGAGTATGATCCCCACCACAGTTGCAACATTTTCCATTCACAGATTCTTCAATATTATACTTCTCCCGTCTACAAACATTTGACACGTGGCCATGTCCTTTACAATTTTCACACTGTAATGGTTTGGACACAAATGCTCACACCGCAAACCTCACATATCCAAGCTTCACATATTCAGGTAGAGTCTCCTCAAACAACAATAATATTTTCTCCTTCCTTCCATTTACAATACGGGTCAGGCGACGTGCACTGACCACTCCTGGGATTTTCTGACTAAGGTACTCATCATCTATATCCAACGAGACTCCAGGTATAACTCCTTTGGCAGGCGCCCTGCTCTGAAGATCAATACATATTACTTCTGACGTGGACAATTTTGCCAGATCCAGTGCACGCTTCTTCTGTTCTTCATCAACACAATTAACCAAAACAAGGCCGCTTCTAGTCACCTTGATTGAATCCACCTTTCCCAATGCTTTCTTCACAGTCCTCAATATTACAAATGGATTTCCCAAATGAATCTTCTTGTCCAAAAACGCAGCCCAATAAGAAATGCATTATTGGACCGGTCCTTGTCTTCTACTACAACCTTTGCTTGTTTTGTTCCATTCTTTGATTTCATTATTTTCCATTCATTATAACACACTTCACTTGCCGCACTTTCGGATTCAAGCACCGTCGCCATTTCCTCCGACAGATCCTCATCCACAGATCAACCACGACCGTAGGCGTTCTCTAATGAAAATATACAAATAAATGCTAGAATGGGCCAATAGGATCTCACTAGCTCATTCTTGTGCCCAACTCCTTACTTGTTCTGCTCACTATGATTAATTTGCTCCCATTGGTAACGACAGGCTCTGATCTATCTTGGCTTAGTTATAAAAAACCTTTGGTAGATCTTCATCTTCTTCTTCTTCTTCTTCTTCTTCTTCTTCTTCTTCTTCTTCTTCTTCTTCTTCTTCTTCTTCTTCTTCTGCTTCTTCTTCTGCTTCTTCTTCTGCTTCTTCTATGATGTAATGGCGGTCTGCAAACAAACGTTAAAGGTACATGCCGCCCCCTACTGTGCTGGAGTGTGTGGTCAATCAAGGTTTACAACATTAGCTCCACATTTCTAAATCCTCTTACCTAACTCAGTACTTCTGAGAAAATAAAAAGAGCCTCCTATAAGACCCTCCCCATCCCCCAAATCCCATCCAAATCCCCCCAACCCCATCCAACCTCAATGACCCTACACGTCAATTTTTCCCTCTCTTCAACATACTTACAACAATATAACAGCACATGCTCCACCGTTTCAACAACCATACACTCTAGACATAAACCATTCGCATGCTTGCCAACCAGATGTAATGACGAGTTCAATGTACAATGCCCAAGGCACAATCAAGCAAACACCACCTCTTCCTTCCTAATCTGACCTTTGAATCTTGGTCCACCTGCCTTTCTTTGGAGGGCATATAAATGCCGGCCTTTGGGCTCAGAGTCCCTCCCATCTCTTCTGCCACATATCTATCAAAATGGCTCTGATCTTACATTTGGCTCACCTCTAACCAGTGGAACATGAATATAAATTATATCTATACCTAACAAAAATATAAACGCAACATGTAAAGTGTTGGTCCCATATTTCATGACCTAAAATAAAAGATCCCAGAAATGTTCCATGTGCACAAATTTGTTTACATCCCTGTTAGTGAGCATTTCTCCTTTGCCAAGATAATCCATCCACCTGATAGGTGTCGCATATCAAGAAGCTGATTAAATTGTATGATCATTACACTGGTGCACCTTGTGCTGGGGACAATAAAAGGCCACTCTAAAATGTGCAGTTTTGTCACACAACACAATGCGACAGATGTTTCAAGTTTTGAGGGAGCGTGCAATTAACATGTTGACTGCAGGAATGTCCAGCAGAGCTGTTGCCAGATAATTGAATGTTCATTTCTCTACCATAAGCCGCCTCCAACGTCGTTATAGAGAATTTGGCAGTACGTCCAACCGGCCTCACAACCGCAGACCACATGTAACCACGCCAGCCCATGACCTCCACATCCGGCTTCTTCACCTGCGGGATCATCTGAGACCAGCCACCCAGACAGCTGATGAAACTGAAGAGTATTTCTGTCTGTAATAAAGCCCTTTTGTGGGGAAAAACTCATTCTTATTGGCTGCACCTGGCTCCCCAGTGGGTGGGCATGGCTCTCAAGTAGGTGGGCCTATGCCCTCCCAGGCCCATCCATGGCTGCACCCCTGCTCAGTCATGTGAAATCCATAGATTAATCTATTTTAGTTGACTGAACTATATGAACTGTAATTATTAACTCAGTAAAATCGTTGAAATTGTTGCATGTTGCGTTTATATTTTTATTCAGTATAGTTTTAAAGTCCTTTTGGCAATCTGGTCTACAATTTGATTCCCTTCCACACCCGAATGGGCTGGGACCCAGCAGAATCTCACTACCACACCCAGTCTCTCGATTCTCCATAATAACAGTAAATCCTCCCACCTCAGTAGATTCCCGAGTATTGCCCTGATGAAACTTGGAACAAGAGGCAATGTGGCGCCTCCGAGTGGCCATTGTCCGACAATGCAGTCGGCCACTTTGTGCTTTTTTCAACATATTGCTGATTTTTTTTTTTTACATTGTACAAGAGTCTTACTTTATTTGATTAAAATGATGAGTCAGGTGAAAATATTTGTATTTATAAAGCACCATATTAGAGCCTAAATTCACATGGCTGTTGAACACACATGCTGATTCACTCCCCTAAAGGCCGTTTTCTGACCTGGGATATCACTCCATTCTAATTTTACAGGGGGAATATTCTAATCAAACAATATTAATCCACTTATGTGGGTATATACTTTGATTGATTGTTTTATCAAATCTATGTATTAATAACTTTGATATAAATACGATTTTTTTTAAAATTATTGTCGGATTACCAGGACGCGTACTCCGAGCATGCGCTGGCCAACTGGCAAGTGTCTTCACTGACATTTTCAAAATGTCCCTGACTGAGTCTGTAATACCAACATGTTTCAAGCAGATACCATAGTCCCTGTGCCCAAGAACACTAAGATAACCTGCCTAAATGACTACTGACCCGTAGCACTCACGTCTGTAGCCATGAAGTGCGTGCTTTGAAAGGCTGGTCATGGCTCACATCAACACCATTATCCCAGAAACCCTAGACCCACTCCAATTTGTATACTGCCCCAACAGATCCACAGATGATGCAATCTCTATTGCATTCGACACTGGCCTTTCCCACCTGGACAAGAGGAACACCTACGTGAGAATGCTATTCATTGACTACAGCTCAGCATTCAACACCATAGTGCCCTCAAAGCTCATCACTAAGCTAAGGACCCTGGGACTAAACACCTCCCTCTGCAACTGGACCCTGGACTTCCTGACGGGCCGCCCCCAGGTGGTAAGGGTAGGTAACAACACATCTGCCATGCTGATCCTCAACATGGGGGCCCCTCCGGGGTGCGTGCTCAGTCCCCTCCTGTACTCCGTGTTCACCCATGACTGCATGGCCAGGCACGACTCCAACACCATCATTAAGTTTGCCGACGACACAACAGTGGTAGGCCTGATCACCGACAACGATGAGGCAACCTATAGGGAGGAGGTCAGAGACCTGGCCGTGTGGTGCCAGGAAAACAACCTCTCCCTCAACGTGATCAAAACAAAGGAGATGATTGTGGACTACAGGGAAAAAAAAGAGGACTGAGCACTCCCCCATTCTCATCGACAGGGCTGTTGTGGAACAGGTTGAGAGCTTCAAGTTCCTTGGTGTCTACATCACCAACAAACTATCATGGTCCAAACACACCAAGACACTTGTGAAGAGGGCACGACAAAGCCTATTCCCCCTCAGGAGACTGAAAAGATTTGGCATGGGTCCTCAGATCCTCAAAAAGTTCTACAGCTGCACCATCGAGAGCATCCTGACTGGTTGCATCATGCCTGGAATGGCAACTGCTCAGCCTCTGACCGCAAGGCACTACAGAGGGTAGTACATACGGCCCACTTCATCACTGGGACCAAGCTTCCTGCCATACATGACCTCTATACCAGGCGGTGTCAGAGGAAGGC